CTTGGTAAAAAAATGAGCCCGTTTGGTCGAGTTGTAATGAAGATATTCAACTTTTTCTTTGTGGAGTTACTTACTGGGCACCCTATATATATAGTTATTGATGATTGATCATCAAATATAAAATGATTTCTATCATGTTGAATTTTGAGAACATGAAAAAAACCTTGTTTTTTTTTCAAATATCAATTCGATAAATATTAATGTTAATGAAGTATTATGAATCAGATATTGAAATAGATGAAATTGACAATAAATATGTTGCTTCATTGATTGATATTTGATACGATAAAAATAATGTACGACAATAATCAGTTCGAGAAATAATTATAGATATCAATGACATTGGTAGAGAATGACTAATAGATTGCTGATAATTAATATAATTTATTTTAAAAGCGACGTCAAAGAATTGTTAGATATTTTTTTCACTTGTTTTAGTTAATATTATCAATAAATTGATTTTATTTTATTTTAAGAGACAAGAAGATTGTATTGATTTATGATGATATAATGAACGGAAAAATATAGCAGATCGTTTTTTAACGAATTTGGCGCACAATACACGATTAGTTGGTAAAATGACTTAAAAGGGACGCCAGATGTCGACTCTTTGCATTAAGAAACATATATATAAGAAAAGCGAAAGAAAAACTAAAACGATATCCATATGCTTGTAGTTGTGAAGAAGAATTTGATATTATATTAGAAATCGATTCTATCACTGCTCTTTTAAAAATATATTCTTGTTTAATAATAATTGCTAATTGACGTTTACATCCTTTAATTTCATTTTTTTTTTGATCAAAGTTATTTGACTTAACAGAAAAAAAAAGTAAAAGACAATGACATATAAATCGATTATGATTTTCAATATCAGCATATATGTATAACATTTATTATTGATTATCTGACAGCGGCGGATCTAGGATTGTTGGAGGGGAGGTGCGATTTTCCGAGGGGGAGTGCGATTGTAGGCAAAAAGTGTAATTTCGGATGCATTCGAGGTAGTATGAACTTGTTTTTTCGTTCGTTTTTGCTGGGAAAAATCGAAAAAATTTTCTCGAAGGGGGGTGCGATCGCTTCGAAGCACCCCCCCTAAATCCTCCACTGTTATCTGATAAACCGGAATGACAATCTAATAGCAGTCTTTTCTATTTAATTTCCTTCTGAAAACATTTTACTTCGAATATAAGAATAAGAATAACTGAAAAATGTAAAGAAAACTATTTGGTATGATATCGAAAGAAGAAAAAGAAAATAGAAATTGTGTTTGTCCATTTGTTGTTCACCAATGAAGCTGACGAATAAGAACGATAATATCATTTCAAAGCGTCAATTGTTGACAAAGAGAACAATAACCACATTGTGCGCTATTTTTTACGAAGCTATTCAATAAGAATGATACACAGCATTCAATCGTATGATATTAAAAAAAAATATGATAACAAAATTGGATGAGCTCTCTGTCGAATTATTCTATGAGATATTTATTTATTTCCAGTTCCATGAAATATTCAATATTTTTTCTAATCTCAATTCTCGTTTTACTGCTATCGTTAGCAATATACCATTTATTCGCGCTAACTTGGGTTTGAATGGTATGAATATCGTTATCACTGAATTTTATTATGCACATTTATTACAACCAAATGTATGTGATCGTCTTATTTCATTGTGTATTTCACATACATTAGCTATTGATAATGGTTTATGGTTAGCATCTAATTTATCTACATTTATCAATCTTCGTCATTTATCTTTAATCGATATTAAACGTTCTTGTTTTGAATTAATGCTCAATACATCTACACCTAACACATCTCTCGTCATATTTAACGTACATTATACAGAATACTATCGAGGTGCATATACATTTCAAGGTGTACCTGAGGGTGCATATTATAAAAGAATCTTTCGTTTATTTCCTTTATTACGTGTATGTCACCTTCGATTCTGGCGGTATATATACAATACTCTAGACAGTCAAATAGTTCTACCACTTAATAAAACTTTTATACCGATTGAAACAAATCATTCGAACTTACAATCACTTGTACTTCGAGAATGTTCACCAGCTTTTCTCTCACATTTACTTGAATATCATCCACAATTGAAAGAACTCAGCTTTGAAATAAGTACCCCTTGGCTACCTGATATACATCCATTATTGAATAATTATAACAAGTAAGTTTCTTTTGTTAAAATCAAAATAACCTATATGATATACGTATGTAAAGTCATGTAATCATATTAGAATAATAGATAATAGTTAAAAGTGATTTCATTTCTAAATTGATAATATTCTTTTTCAACAATGTTTACTGACTTTGGAGTGTTTAATTGTAAAATGATAATTTGAAAAGTTCAGAGTTATTTCAATAATTTTTTAATGAACTCAATGAATATAAGAAGATAGAAGTAAGCAGTAGTTTTTATTTTCGATGAGACCAACATGTAGATTACTATGTTATTCATTGGTAAAAGACAATCAACTCATATTTAATCACAATATAAGTATGATTCAATCGGCCCGGTTTTTGAAAGAAAAATTTTTCTCATTTTTTTTTCGTCTAATAATTATAGAACACAAAATTTTAAGATTACTGTGAAATAAAAATCAATGAAATTTTGAAGAAATATTATAACATACTGCAAAATAAGTTATAATATAGAACCATTGGTTGGCAGTAGAAATGTCGAAAGGAAAAATGTCGAAAGGAAAAATATCGAAAGGAAAAATGTCGAAAGAACGAAGGGGAAAAATGTCGAAAGGGAAAAATGTCGAAAGGAAAAATGTCGAAAGGGAAAAATGTCGAAAGGAAAAATGTCGAAAGGGAAAAATGTCGAAAAAATATACATTAAGAAAATGGCTCATTATTCTTGTTAGAAAATCTTGAAATAGAAGAGACGTTCTTTATTTTTTATGCTAACACTAACATATGTTAATAGAAAAAAAATGTATGAATTTTAGAAGAGCAACCATTGTATGTATACTTCCAATATTNGGGAAACTACTCGACTGCACTATCCTACTATCAAAAGACGCTTGATATTTTACAAAAATCTCTATTGATTACACATCCTGATGTGGCTACAACTTATAGTAATATTGGGCTAACATGTCTGTTAATGGGAGAATACTCGACTGCTCGGTCATATTTTGAAAAGACATTTGACGTTCAACAAATAGCTCTTTCACCTACTTCTCTTGGTCTAGCTACGACCTATGGGGACATCGGTGAGACATATTGTTTGATGGGAGACTACTCCACTGCGCTCTCATATTGTATGAAGACACTAGAAATTCAAGAAAAAGCTCTTCTACCAACTGATCTAGTTTTAGCTTTGACCTACACCAATATCGGATTCATCTACGCTTCTATGGCAGACCACTCCAGTGCACTTGCATACTATAAAAAAGCTCTAAAGATTCAAGAAAAAGTCGATCCACTCACTCATTCCGATCTAGGCCTGACTTATAGTTACATCGGTTTTGTGTACAATTCAATAGGAGACTATTCCACTGTTCTGCCATACTGCGAGAAAGCACTTGAAATTCAAGAAAAAACGCTCGCACACAATCATCCGTCATTGGCCTTGACTAACTATATTATAGCGAAGACATTGGAAGGTCTTCATCGATATGAAGAGGCTATTGAGTATGCATCACAAGCTGTTGAAAAAATCCGTAATGCGTTCAGTTTTAATCATTCTAAAGTCAAGTCAAACCAAGATTATCTCGATAATTTTCGTCGAAAACTGGAATTGATATCAGATTCAACTAACAATGCGCACATGTGAATTGTACTTTGAATTCAAATGGGTGATCCAATATAAGTTGCACTAAATTCTGATGTATTTTTCTCTCGTTTTTCATTTATGAAAAAAATGTCCTGATATACCAAAATATAGAGAATTTCAAGTTCTACAAAACTATACTCTTTATTTTAAAAAACATAATCTCCCTCACGTTGTAACATTCGATATATTCTTTTGGTCCAACTTAAGATACTGCGACGCACGATGTCAAGTCGAATCTTTTTGACACCTTGTTTTATTTCCTCAATTAATGTTTACTTGTTCGTCATGAGACTCCAGTTCATTTGATGACGAAGTTCATCCCAGATGCAATAGTCTAGTGGGTAAAGATCTGGACTATTTGGAAACCAACGATCTTTAGTCCAATAATCGGGAAAATTTTCTTCACACCATTGCTGTGTCATGTTGTCCCTGTGTACTGGCACCGTCTTGTTGAAAAACAAAATCACTATCTAACATTTTTTCACCGTCTTCCAATGCTATGGACAAAATTTCTTCGATATATCGTGAACTGTTAATGGTACCTTCAATGATCACCGGCCATGTCACTTCTTGATAGCATACCCCTAACCGTGTGGGTGTGGGTATGGATGAAGATTCAATCCACACTCTCACCCCCACAACCACCCACACCCTCGGATTTCGTCGGAAACTAACAGATAACGATGATTTCCGACAGTCGAAATCCGATCGGATTCCGACTGCCGGAAGCTGCCGGATGGTTTTGGATCCGATAGGATGATTTCTACCTGGGTGATTATCCAATAAACTGGAATGACAATCTAATAGCAGTCTTTTCTCTTTAATTTCCTTCTGAAAACAGTTTACTTCGAGTATAAGAATAACAATAATAATAATAACTAAAAAATATAAAGAAAACTATATGATATGTTATCGAAAGAAGAAAAAGACAATAGAAATTATGTTTGCCCATTTGTTGTTCACCAATGAAGCTGACGAATAAGAACGATAATATCATCTCAAAGCGTCAATTGTTGACAACGAGAACAATAACCACACTGTGCTATTGTTTACAAAGCTATTCAATAAGAATGATACGCAGTATTCAATCGTATGATATTAAAACAAAATATGATAACAAAATTGAACGATCTCTCTGTCGAATTATTCTACGAGATATTTATTTATTTCCAGTTCCATGAAATATTCAATATTTTTTCTAATCTCAATTCTCGTTTTATTGCTATCGTTAGCAATATACGATTTATTCGCGCTAACTTGGGTTTGAATGGTATGGATATTGCTGTCACTGAATTTTATTATGTACATTTATTACAACCAAACGTATGTGATCGTCTTATTTCATTGAGTGTCTCACATACATTAGCTATTGATAATGGTTTATGGTTAGCGTCTAATTTATCTGCATTTATCAATCTTCGTCATTTATCGTTAATCGATATTAAACGTTCTTGTTTTGAATTAATGCTCAATATATCTTCACCCAACACATCTCTCGTCATATATAACGTACATTATACAGAATACTATCAAGCTGCATATACATTTAAAGGTGTACCTGAGGGTGCATATTATAAAAGAATCTTTCGTTTATTTCCTTTATTACGTGTATGTCACATTTGATTCTGGCTGTATATATACAACACTCTAGACAGTCAAATAGTTCTACCACTTAATAAAACTTTTATACCGATTGAAACAAATCATTCGCACTTACAATCATTTGTACTTCGAGAATGTTCACCAGCTTTTCTCTCACATTTACTTGAATACCATCCACAATTGAAAGAACTCAGCTTTCATTTAAGTACCACTTGGCCACCTGATAGACATCCATTATTGAATAATTATAACAAGTAAGTTTCTTTTGTTAAAATCAAAATAACCTATATGATATACGTATGTAAAGTCATGTAACCATATTAGAATAATAGATAATAGTTAAAAGTGATTTCATTTCTAAAGTGATAATATTCTTTTTCAACAATGTTTACTGACTTTTGAGTGTTTAATTGTAAAATGGTAATTTGAAAAGGTTCAGAGTTATTTCAATAATTTTTTAATGAACACAATGAATATAAGAAGATAGAAGTAAGCAGTAGTTTTTATTTTTGATGAGACCAACATATAATTAGATTACTATGTTATTCATTAGTAAAAGACAATCAACTCATCTAATCACAATATAAGTATGATTCAATCGGCCTGGTTTTTGAAAGAAAAATTTTTCTCATTTTTTTTTCGTCTAATAATTGTAGAACACAAAATTTTAAAATTACTGTGAAATAAAAATCAATGAAATCTTGAAGAAATATTATAAAATAGTGTAAAATAAGTTATAATAGAGAACCATTCTCTTTCGATAAAAGTCATTAATCAATTATTGTCAAAAGTTAATCTTCCAAAATGAGCTTAACAAACCAAATGCTTCTGGTTAGTTTCGACACCAAAAAATTGTTTTTTAAAACTGTAACCATTGAATTTTAATACGAGTTTATTGGAGAAAAAAGAAATGGTTTTTCTTCTTATGCAATACATTATCCTGTTATAGCAAGTCTCTGATAATCACATTTGTGGATATTTAATAATAAATAGTTAAATAAATATAGATTGTCTATGAAAATATGCTCATAATATTGGTTAATTATTTGTTAATGTTCCATTAACAAAATTTCTTTTATATTTTATTTATAGTTTTTCTATATCAACAATATATTCAGTTAAATATTAGTCAAAGAAAGAACATCTTCGAAATAATTGTCAATAGCCGCAATTAGACGATGAAAAAAGCTGAGTAAAATAAAAAGTTCATTATTTTATGACTATGATACAATACATGATGATATGATAGAAATTTGTTGTATGGAAAGATTTTTTTAAAATTTTCATCGATGGTAAAATATCAAGAAGTATTTTTAATATAAAAATACAAACTATTATGTATAAATAGAACATTGGCACTATATGATATGGTGTAGATGAGCAATAGAAAAGAGTATTTTTTTTTCAATAAAATGTGAAATAATATATCATGTATTTATGATTATTTTTTATTAATCTATTTCAGTCAAGTGTCTCGTTTTGATAAACGCTTGGTTCCTAATCTACGTCGTCTTAAAATAACATTAAAATATGATATTAATGCTATGGAGCTACTTNCTTTCGACATTTTTCCCTTTCGACATTTTTCCCTTTCGACATTTTTCTTTCGACATTTTTACCCTATTTTTTTTTCTTTCGACATTTTTCCTTTCGACATTTCTACTGCACACCGAACCATTCTCTTTCGATAAAAGTCATTAATCAATTATTATCAAAAGTTAATCTTGGAAAATGAGCTTAAAATTCAAATACTTTTGGTTAGTTTTGACATCAAAAAATTGTTTTTTAAAACTGTAACCATTAAATTTTAATACGAGTTTACGTGAGAAAAAAGAAATGGTTTTTCTTATGCAATAAATTATCCTGTTATAGCAAGTCTCTGCTATTCACATTTGTGGATATTTGATAATAAATATAGATTGTCTATGAAAATATGCTTATAATATTGGTTAATTATTTGTTAATGTTCCATTAATAAATTTCTTTTAGATTTTATTTATAGGTTTCTTTATACCAACAATATATTTAGTTAAATATTAGTCAAAGGAAGAACATCTTCGAAATAAGTGTCAATAGCCGCAATTAGACGATGAAAAAAGCTTGTTAGCGCAGTCTAGCGACGTCACGAGGGAAGGCTCAGCCCTACCACCCCAGAATTTGAGAAATTGTTTCTTATGAAAAATTGAAAGACCTATGGCAGAATAATGCTTTCAGTAATTCTAAGGATTCAAGGGAACGTAGAATGTGAGTTAAACAATAAATCTGAGGTATTCACAAAGCAACAAAATTGATTCATAAACAGCATAGGAGAGCTATATATGAATTCATTCTATTAAATTGGTTTAATTAGTCTTTCCAAAGTAAAAGAACGCATGAAACATTGTAGGCATTCTAAATAGATTCCTTCATATAGAATAATAAATTCTAAAAACCCAAGTCGAATAATATACTTCTTTCTTTTAAATACCTTGTGTTAGATGAGATTAATAATAGCTTCCAAAGACCAAAAAAAGATTCATAGTAACTGTATCTGTTTTGATTATACCATCTGAAATAGCAATTGTATTAGCACCAACAGGATCAGGTACCCATAAGTATATTGACAGAATCTCACAGTAATTGAGTCATATAAGTGCCGCCAGATTAGAAAAAACAGCATATTTGATGGTTCGCGTAACACTAAATGTGAATGCACTACGAATATAACTCTAATATACAGTACGAACCAATTAACCAGCATTTTGCAAACTTCGTAAGATTAATCGAACTGTGCTGTGATGCATTTCTAAGTTTCCTTTCCAATCTTTTTCAATTTGTTCCTATTTTAAAATCGTCTTCTCTCGGCAAAATCATCTAGTAAAGTTCATTTTGACAGAGCATTTCAGTAGTGACACGTACTATTAAGAAAGTTTTATCATGATTGTTTCGGTAAGAGATTTTTTGTTTCTAATTCAAATGGATGTTATTTGAAACTATCATTATTATCTTAGATAGTATTATTACTACGAGCACAGATTCTCGAGTAACTAACGCATAAGACCAAGCCCTACAAGCATTCTTCGCTTAAATAGAGCTTCGAATTTTGCTTTCCCGCGGTTTTTACGAGTAGTCGAATCCTCAAAACGCAATCCGGTGATTCAGATTACTGCTAACAATAAGTGAAAGATGTAACATAAAAGGTTTTGCTAACCAAGAATCATTTCTACTGAATGATTTCGTACAAAAATCATGATAGATTAATTTGAAAGTACTGAGTAGAGGAGCACATTTATCCATAGTTATAATAGAATGCCTGGAAAAAGACGAGAAAATATTAGTTCGGTGTTTGAAGAGACTTCCTATTGTAACAGATAAGAAACACTATTTTGAATTCAGCCAAATACAATTTCTCTATATTATCAAAAGTCGAAGTCAAACAGCAGTACTTCTATCTTGTAAAATTTTTGTCAAAAACTATTGGAATGGAACATTTTAATCTCTTGTACTATCGAAGAATTCCGTATAACTGCGAAAACTTTGTCACACTTGAGGCAAGTGCCAGTTAAACATAAAAGTATAAGACAGATTTCTGTCTCTTTATTTCCTTAAAAGAAATCAAAATCCAACAGAAGATAATTCTTCACACAGGATCTTTTCATACCAGAAGAACTTCATTTTGATTGGTCTTTAAAAAACTCAATTCTTTTAGAAAATCTCTTTGATAATGTTGATAACTGACTTTGGTTACTTTATCCAAGAGAGACACAAGATTATGCTGAGAAAAACGCTTTTCTAAGAACTCAAAAATTTGTCAAAAAAAAATCTGGAGAGCGGGCTGAGTCCTATCACGCTCAATTTTCTGGTGATGCCGCTAGCGCAGCCCCTTTTGGGCTGAAATGTGGAACTCACGTAGGTTCTTCAGCTTCATTGCACTAATATTCAAAATATAGATAGCATAAAATCAGGCATTTTTCAATTTTCTGACAGGCGCCTTTATCTTTCGTTTTCTTTGTTGCTATTCGCTCAGTATTTTTCATTTTTAACATTACTTTTTTCTTTAATTTTACATTTATATTATAAGAAGCATTGAATTATATGGCGAATGAAGCTATTATATATATGTGTTTATGTATATCCATTTTTTTAAACCTGATCGCTAAGATCTCTAATATTCTCTTTCGTTGCTATGGACTGTAAGGGGACTGTCTGTAAGAGGGGAGGGTTAGGGGGAAGCCACGAAATCTTGACCTTAAAACTTACACTCACTATTTTCTTCGAAAATCTACGTGAGTTCCACAAAAGCTGAGTAAAATAAAAAGTTCATTATTTTATGACTATGATACAATACATGATGATATGATAGAAAATTGTTGTATGGAAAGTTTTCTTTAAAACATTTTCATCGTTTCTAAATTATCAAGAGAAGTATTTTTATATTAAAAATACAAACTATTATGTATAAATAGAACATTGGTACTATATGATATGGTGTAGATGAACAATGGAAAAAAGGATTTTTTTATTTCAATAAAATGTGAAATAATATATCATGTATTTATGATTATTTTTTATTAATCTATTTCAGTCAAGTTTGTCGTATTGATAAACGTTTGGTTCCTAATCTACGTTGTCTTAAAATAACATTAAAATATGATATTAATGCTATGGAGCTGCTTGATCAATTATTTGATCATGATGTTTTATTTTCATTGACAAAATTCACATTAGAAGGGATGGTGACTGGACCTAATGTTGTTTCCAAGTTATTATCAATGCTTTGTCATCAATGTTCATATACATACATTGTTAGATGGATTGTGAAAACTACGATATCATTATCGAACACAAGTAGTATCTTGTTAAATACATTGCAACAATTGAAAGGACGAATACCAATCGAATTAGAATTATGTTTATATAATAATGGGTATTCTATTGAAACTTTCACGTTGCCACGAAAGGACAAATCTTTATGTGCTTATAGATATTTAAACAAAAACTTTGTTCACGTGTATGTATAAATTTCATTTGCTTATAAAAAATGATTTTTCTAAATTATTTAGACAAAGTCATTGGTCATGTACTTTATCAACAGCTTTGAATAATAATTTGACATGTATCAATAAAATAACATTGGATGGTAGATGTTCTCAAACCAATGACGAATTTCTCTCGTACTTACTAACTATTGTTTCTTGCCGTCAAATTACTTCGCTTACAATTGATGATCCATTCGATTTATGTCAACTACGTTTGCTCTTATCAAAAATGATTCATTTACGTACTCTAGAGCTTTTTTATCACTTCGATTATGATTTAGATGATGAAAGAAACAAGCAAAATGTAATCAAACTTTTCAATGATACTTCTTTATGCAATATACTCATGTCAAATGGATTAAAAAAACTACATTTTTATACGGATTGGGAATATCCAGATATGATAGGTATTGTTTCTTTAATTGTGAAACAATTGCCACATCTGGAAATCATAGAGTTAAACTATCATAATGGTAGTCAAGTTCCTGAAACATTACATATACTAATAAATGGTCTTCCAAAATTGAATTTTATCATTTTTCATGTTTGTTTGACTGGTGAAAATGAACAAGAGTCAAAAATGCGTGATCTTCCGAACCATTGTAAACGTGCATATAGAATGGAGAATCTTCGAGAACTTGCTGATGCCCAAATACTTCATGTATGGCTTCAATAACATTAAACTATTACATTCTTCTGTTTGTTAATAGGCATATTTTTCATTGTAAGACTATAATAGACTTAAAATTGAAAAGTTTAATAAAAAAATGTACGAAAGGCGGCAGAGGTCCAACCAGGCCGCATTTTTGCAGGCCTGGCCGGCCTATGACAGGCCTCTGAATTCCAAGCCTGCCTGTGCCTGCCAACTTATTTGTTTGGCCTGGCCTGCCTGCCTGGCATTTTCTTCGGCCTGCCTGGCCTGCCTGGAAAGGCCTGTCTATTTTTCTTTTATGCCAATACNATGATGTTTTATTTTCATTGACAAAATTCACATTAGAAGGGATGGTGACTGGACCTAATGTTGTTTCCAAGTTATTATCAATGCTTTGCCATCAGTGTTCACATACATACATTATCAGATGGATTGTGAAAACTACGATATCATTATCGAACACATGTAGTATTTTGTTAAATACATTGCAACAATTGAAAGGACGAATGCCAATCGAATTAGAATTATGTTTTTTATAATGATGATTATTCTATTAAAGCTTTCACGTTACCACGAAGGGACAAATCTTTATGTGCTTATAAATATTTAAACAAAAACATTATTCACGTGTATGTATAAATTTCATTTGCTTATAAAAAATGATTTTTCTAAATTATTTAGACAAAGTCATTGGTCATGTACTTTATCAACAGCTTTGAACAATCGTTTGACATGTATTAATCAAATAACATTGGATGGTAAATGTTCTCAAACCAATGACGAATTTCTCTCTTACTTACTAACTATTGTTGCTTGCCATTAAATGACTTCGCTTACAATTAATGATCCATTCGATTTATGTCAACTACGTTTGCTCTTATCAAAAATGACTCATTTACGTACTCTACAGCTTTTTTTATCACTTTGATTATGCTTTAGATGATGAAAAAAACAAGCAAAATGTAATCAAATTTTTCAATGATACTTCTTTATGCAATATACTCATGTCAAACGGATTAAAAAAAACTACATTTTTATACGGATTGGGAATATCCAGATATGATAGGTGTTATTTCTTTAATTGTGAAACAATTGCCACATCTGGAAATCATAGAGTTAAACTGTCATAATAGTAGTCAAGTTCATGAAACATTACATATACTAATAAATGGTCTTTCAACATTAAATTTTATCATTTTTCATGTTTTTTTTGACTGGTGAAAATGAACAGGAGTAAAAAATGCGTGATCTTTCAAACCATTGTAAACGTGCATATCGAATACAGGATCTTCCAGAACTTAGTGATGCCATAATACTTCATGTATGGCTTCAATAACATTAAACTATTACATTCTTCTGTTTGTTGATAAGTATATTTTTCGTTGTAAGAGTATAATAGACTTAATATTGAAAAGTTTCGTAAAGAAAAATGTACGAAAGGTGGAAATATTAAAATTTGTTCAATACTAATATGATTGTCAAAATATATTTTTCCCTCATTGTTGTAAGTTAGTAAAATAAACAATCAAACTTTTAGATTGTCCTCGATGGACTTAATAGTAATGCAGGGAGACTCGATAAAAAAGTTTACAGAAGTTTTTCGTTCACTTTTATATATATTATTATGCTGATAATTCAATGTGTTTTTCTAATAACATATATAATCATATTCATCATTGTGAACTATCAAATATAGTGCAGTAATGAATTTATACTTAAAAAAAGAACAATTAATAATGATCGAAAAAAGAAATTATTCATATTAATTTCTGCTTTTCATTTACTTTTAAATAGCATATCATGTAATTAGTCAGAAGCCTATGTTAACTTTAATCATCGAAAAAGAATATAAAATATTAATATTAGCATTATATTGATCTTGTTCATATTTGAAACTTCATGTAAATAGAAGTGAACAAAAACCAATTTGAACTTGTCTTCATATTAATAAAATAAATTTTCGAATTATCTAAAAATTGAAACTTAATTTAATTATTTAACTTAATGTCAAGTATTCAGATTATTCCATAGTATCAGTCAACGGTGCACTTTAACGTATAAAGAACACATTTGCTAGTTTATGAGTTGACGTCCTACAGAGAGTTGTAAGTCTGGATAAGCAAAGGTTGGTATCATTGATTGAGTTTAATGATATTTATCTAATCTTCTCTTG